CCTGGAATGAGCCGAAAGCGCCTGCGGCGCTGTCCGGGGTGTCCCCCAAACCGGGACCGGCTGGGTGTCACCCAGGATCGGGCCCCTCACGCCCGGGACCCCAGCGGCCGTAAGGTCAGGTAGATGGGCTTGTCCGGGATCAGGATGAGATCGAACTTGGTCCCGACTTCCACCGCTCTCATGGTTTCGATCTTGAAGTTCTCCAGGATCTGGGACGGAGGAGAAAGGGGAGGGTGGTAAGCGCTGGAGGTACCAACCCGCAGGTGCCACCTCCCCAGCCCCTTCCAGCGCCACGTCCCTGCTCTCCCCAGCAGCAGGGTGCTCACGTGCATGAGGAAGAGCTGCATCTCCAGCTCAGCAATCCGGCGTCCCAGGCACTGGCGGGGTCCGAAACCGAACCCCAGCCCCTTGAAGTGCTTGGGGCCAGCCGCCAGCCAGCGCTGGGGGCTGAACTGCTCCGGCTTGGGGAAGACCTCGGCGTCCCGACCCATGGCGTAGAGACCGACCTGCACCAGCGTCTGCGGGGAAGGAGCCGTCCCGTGGGTCTGGGCTTCGCCGGCGTTCGGGGTGCGGGTCCAGACCCTCCACGTCGCCTGCCTCCGCACAGAGCGAAGCAGGTCGGGGTGCAGAGGGACCTGGTGGCCGTGCTCACCTTGGGGGGGATGCGGTAGTCCTGGAGGACGACCTCCTGCGTGGTGTACCTCTGCAGGGTCACCGCCACGGGGTGCAGCCTGCGGGAGACAGGTCCCACGCACCTGGTTTTGGGGACAGCCCGGCCCGGCCGTGCACAGTGTCCCAGCAGTGCCAGGGACGTGGGAAGCGAAGGGGGTGGGCTGTTTTTCAGCAGGGGCTCCTCCTCACCTGAGCGTCTCCTTGATGGCGGCTTTGAGCAGCCGGATGGTTTTCAGCATCTTCACCCTGTCCCCCACCGCCTCTCGCTTGGCGGCCAGGACCTCTGCCCGCAGCTGCTCCTGGACCCCTGGTGACCGCGCCAGCTCGAACATGGCCCACTGCAGCGTCATGGAGGTCTGGAGCGGGGCAGGGGAGCGAGGGTCAACACCAGCCAGGACCTTCTCCCCGCCCAACGACCCTGTCCGCTCCTTACTGTGTCCACCCCGCCCGCCATCATCTCGGTGACGTTGGCCTTGATGTCATCCAAGGGCAGCTTGTCCTGCATGATGAGGCTGCAGAGGATGCCCATGTACTCCTTGGAGCTCTTGCGCTGCAGCCGCAGGTCCCGGTAGACGTTTTGTATGCATTTGTCCGCTGAGGAGACACGGAGACATGGCATGGCCTTCCTCTCCCAGGGCCATGGTGGAGGAGGAAGGCACCAGATGTGGCACCTTAGGACATCGTCTCCCCATGCCAGCGGCTTTTCCATGGGAGTTGGCCCTGCAGTGGCTTGGGACTGAGGTCTCTGCTGCAGGACCCAGCAGTGGCTGGGTGGGCACAGAGGGTGGGGAGTGAGGGTGCCCCACGGGGGGACACCCTGCAGAAGGTATGTCCCAGGTGTCAAAAGCTCTCCAAGCCCACAAGCCCCTCTGTGAGAGCTGCTCCCCTCAACGTGATGCCCATCATCTGCCCTTCATTGCTCCCACTGCTCCATCCCACAAGCTCCAGATGTAGAAAGTCTTCCTGACCTTGGTGGCCCTGTGCTGGGTGATTGGACCCAGGAGAAGGTCTCCACTCTGGTGAGAAGAGGCTGTACTATGACGCCAGGTCCTCAAAGGGGCCTTCGGTGACACAGGGAGGTGCGGGCAGGAGGAGCACTCACCCTGGGAGAAGATGGCATCCCAGGCCCAGACATGGTCCCGCCACGTCTTGGCGTTGAGGTGGCGGAGGAGGGTGGGCGGCAGGTAGAGCATGGGTGAGGTGGTGTGGAACATCAGGGTCACGGCGTCGATGAAGCGCTGCACCTCAGGGTCCACGAAGTCCTGCAGCAGCCCCAGCCGCTCCCCGAACAGAACATGGCACACGGCTGCAAGCACAGCGTTTGTTAGGGTATCTGGCCAGGAGGGACCTTGTCCCCATGCCCTCCACCCTCCCGCACCCAACTCCAACCTTGCCATGGCTACAGGGACCTGGCTTGGCCTCCTGCTCGCTCCGAGCATCACAGGGCGGTGGAGGCACCCCTTGTTGGGTAGAGTTGGCCACCAGTTGATAACTGGTACATGATAAAACACTGTTTTATCAACAGTGTTGAGTTGTCCTCTACTTGTGTGGAGAGGGGACGTCCCTCTAGACCCTAGAGCTTTGGGGGGGAAGCCTCTTTACCCATCCCTGAGGATGAAGCTGGGGGAAACACAGCACGTTGCCCATCTCAGGTACCCTGCAAAGGGATGTTTCGGGG